TAACTCTTTATCTCGGAGGGGGGTAAACCCACTATGCTGGGGCCCTTTTTTTGTACTAAATTTAAAAATGACAAAAACATCACTAAATTGGTCATTAAATCAAAACAAGTGAACCTATAAATTGACAGTTCGTCATCTAATGAATGAAATCCCGATGAAAGAAACCTTTTCTCGGCAATTGCCAAAAAGCTTTTTGATGTCGAAGTCGTTGTAAAGGAATGTGCCTGAGCCGCTGTCAGCAGCTCACTGGCACAGCGGTTCCAACCGTGAGCCGCTGCGAGAAGCTTGCCGGAGATAAAAAGTTAAGAAACTACTTTTTTAAGACAAAGAAATGACTTACGGAATTGTGACCTTTGACTTTTCTGAAGCAGTCAAAGCTTCTCTTTATTTATTTATTTGAGTAAAGAGAAGCAGTTGGACGTCAAAACAAAAATTCTCCAAATTTCTAGTGACAGTAACAACAAACAGGTGAGACATAATATGTTTTTGCTCCTTTCCTTACTTGGAGGAAATATGAGCATTTCATTTAACAACTAACAGGTTGATTCCCCTTATTCGCGTCTCGTGCACCAATCTGCCAACAAAAATGAAGTCAAACCAATAATTAGTTTGGTGAAAGCTGTGACCAGTACCTCATACGTGCGAGCGAGGTCGGGGTTCACCATAATCTGACCAGCCTTTGGTGGCTCCCCGTTCAGTAACAAAGACTTCCCGTGAAGATTTTCCTCTCTCTGAAGAACGTCAGCTCCTGTGAAAACATTATGTGTGCGGCATTATGGTGATATCACAAGTGTGTCAAAATAATGAAATCGAAGTAGCCGCCATGTATCTACCTTTTTAGTCATTTTTATTGATTTTATGGAGGAAGGCTCAAGGCCTTTTATGTCCATTTTAAACCACATTCCTGCCTAGATTTTACTGAAAAACATTGATCAAAGGCACACAAAAATGTAAATTAGCAATTTCCAAGGACACTCAAGTCTGGGAAGGAGTTTTTGTTTAAGATGACCAACCCAAAAAAAAAAAAAGAAAAAAAAAAGTAAATTAGAGAAAGAAAAATTTTCTTTCAGAAAATCAAAAAACAAAAGTTACAAAATCTAAAGATAAATTATGGAATAAAATTAAATTTAAACCAAAGACGACGAAACACCCAACCAAACCTACCATACCCCTCTCCCCCACCCCCACCCAAAGCAAAAAAAAAAAGCAAAAACAAAAAACACCAAAAATAAACAAACAAAACAAAGACAATTACTAGAAGTTCCACAAACTCGTCCCAGCTTCCAGAAAACCCCAACTTCTTAATGCGCGTGGAGTTCATCAGCTTGTACTGCGAAACCATGGCGTCTTTAGGGTTCCTCAGAATGTACACGATCTTGGTCTTCCTCTCAGACTCAAACGCTTGCCTCGGAAGAAAACGAAGCTGGCAGTGTGACGTCAGCACTCTGGGGGAAGAGGCTTTCTGAAGAACCTTCGTCACCCGATCGCCCATCATTTCGAGCTGCAATTCAAAGAAGTTCCTTTTGGAGAAGTCGGTGCCCTGCCCCAGAATCATGTTTAGAATCTCGAACGCCCAGTGGTTGCCAGATCGGAGGAAACCGGTGGTTATGACATCATCGGGCCTAAGCTCCGCCCCTCGGATGAGGGAGAACATGCGCTCAAAGCTGTTGACTCGCTCGTACGGGCAGTAGGGCACGCCCTCGAATACGCGAAGGTCCATCTGGGCAGACACGGCTCGTGCCCTTTCAAGGAGTTCGTGGTTTTCCTCGTCGGCCATTTTTTATTTCGTTTGTCGCTGCTTTTGCGCCTTGGGTGAGATCAAGAGACCTGTGAATAGACATTTTCAAGACATTAATAAAATCGATATTATCATATATTCTCCGGTGTATATTATATAAAATGGCATTCTGGAACAGGGGCGAAGGCTGACTTGTTTGACAAGGTAATCAAAGTGAAACGGGACCAGATATGGCCTGTATATATCACACAAGAATCTTACTCGAGGCGGTGACTCTGAGTTGTGAATGAAAACAAATCCGGAATTCATATTGTATGTTCAACCGCCAAAATAATCGGGAAAGTATCTTATTAAATATCAGTTCCAACTAAAATTAAATTTAACTTCAGATGTGAGATGTGAATACATAAACACAAAGCAAAGAAACAGAGATGTCAGTACTAGATCTATATGTTATAGATCTACCAGTAAGTCTAACTCTTTGGTAGAAAATGACAATTATCATTTTTTAAATTTCACATTTGGCAGTTTTTGTTAGCCTTTCGCGGCCAGGAGCTGGTGTCATAATCGAGGTCATGATCTGATTATAGGACGGGAACAAGTCGAGGAAAAAAAACAAGCACACGCAGTAGTCAAGAGATTATTAGGAGTTAGTTCCCCTCACATTTGTGAGGTAGACTCGACCAGCGTTAGTTAGCATAAATAATCAGGGCTTGAGATTGATTATAACTGTGGCCCCAAAGGGGTGAACAGGGTATATGTGGCAATGAAACAGCTTGGACTGCTATGTACATGTTCCCTTCAACTCTATTGATAGACTCTTCCAGCCTCACTTTAAGCTTACTTAATCAAAGCTTGCGACTGCTTATGGAGTGGCCCGAGAGGGGTGAGGAGGCTATTTCCGTGGCTGTGAAACCGTTTTGAATGTTAGGCATACTGTTCATTGTTGATTACGAACGTCTTTTTACATTTAATTTAAGAGGTTTACGTTTAAGGATGAATTTGACAGCGGCAATGTTTCAAAATTAGGAAGGGAAGCAGTGATTATTTGATTATATAGACGCTTGGCCCCTGTTCTGGAAATATTACCCTACTGGTGTCTGTGGTGTAGTGGTGAGACGATTCGACGTCGCACGCAAGTGTTTGATTTCCGTAGATTGATTATCTTCATCAGTCTGTTGGGGTATTGTAGCCTTCTCAACTCGGGTTGGCATGACACAGTCAGGGTCTAAGCCAGCCTACTTAATGGTCTAAATCCTCAAAGCCCACTCATCAAAGTAAAGCAGGTGGTTGAAAGGCGCCACGGGCAGGTACTTACTACTTCTTAACCGTTCCTCTGTTTGATCCATCTCTATCCATCTTACTTTTTTCTACAGCACAAAACGACCAGCTGGGAATCTCAACCTGGCTCAGAGAGGCATTGTGCGTAGCTCAGCATAATACCAACAGAGATGTCGCGGGTGAGTGAGGCCCACTTGGTCTCGGTGGTCTCCATTCAGAGCTTACTTGACCAACAACGCACATCCGGGGTCTCTGCTCTCTGTGAGGCCCACATCGGGGTAGCAATGACGCCATGCGCGAAAGACTATATTAACATGTATTATTTTAAGAAGGCCGGAGACCTCAAGCAGACGTTCATTGGGCCTTGATCCCGTTGTGCTATGGTACGAGTAACGTGTAATACGCGGACAGACACGGGATGGAAATCTTAGAGATGGGATGTTCGAATTAAACGTCCAACTTCGATAAGACCGACAGGACTATGAAAATAAACACTACAACTCAAGCTCAAGAACACTCCACTGGGGATACCCACTTCTATTCGGACTGACGACGACGTACTCGTTAGAATTTTTGAAAGGCAAATGGCGAATACAAGAAAAACTATTTACAGACTAATTGGTCACTGTAAATTCGCAAATTTTGACGCTATTTTTCTGGCGCGCTATTTTTAGGTCAAAGTTCCCTTTGTCGGTTAATTCTTCTCTACACAAAAGCCATTGCGTGTGCACAGCTAGTACTAAGGCCCAGTTTTTGCAGGGCCTAACAACTGGCATCGTACACAAACACACACACACACACACACACACACACACAGACATAACATTGCACACACACACATATATACAAACATGCAAGTACACACACACATACACACACACACACACGCACACCCACAAACACACACATAAGCGCGCGTGAGCGCAAAAATGGCCACGCCCACGCGCACACACGGTACACACACATACCCCACAAACGAACATAAACTGAGAGACACAGTTGAGGCCTGCCTCCCAAAATATGAGCCAGATTGTGCCTATGATTTTCATGATTACTTGGCTCGGATCTACACCTACATTAAAACATCTTTTACATTTCGGTCGTTAAAATGCTATGTAGGTCATATAACAAACACACACACACACACACGCACACACACACACACACACACACACACACACACACACACACTTACACACACACACACACACATGAATGAAAAACAAGGAATAGAATAACCCAAATTAATTCGAATGATTTATATGTTAGTTTTCGCCACCATCGACTCGACAAAACTAATAACAGTAATTATTGTTGCTTCGACTCTGATTGTTTCAGAAAAAACACGGGCTGAGCACGACGAACGGTCTAACAAACAGACGAGGGAAAAAACAAACCCCTCAATATATAATAACTTAATCATTGCTCTAGATTCAAAGCCACGTCTTCTGTACGCGTAAACAAAGACCCTTACAATTTAATTACCACTGCACCAGAGACGCCGGTAAATTTAACCACGCCCAGAATAAATAGATACAACATTAAAACCAAATGGACTGCCAGTAGAGTGCCATTCGTCAGCAGTAATTTCTGTTATATATAAATTGAAAAAAAAAGTAATAATCTTCGTTGAGTTAAACGCTAACGTACAGATTCAGTTGGAGGAAAGAAGCACACAGGTAATTATATAGCTGACAAAAACAAAGCAAAATAAAATAAAAATTACAGATGGAAAATTATGAAGTTGGGCCTATCAGAAGCGCTCTGACCCAATCGTCAGTCGAAAATTACTTGACCGCAAAGCATGAACAACGCGAATATATTATTATAAGAGGACAAAGGACCCTGAGGAAAAACAAAAAACAAACACACACACACACACACACACACACACACACACACACGTGTGAGTGTGTGTATGCGTGTGTTAGTGTGTGTGTGTGTGTGTGTGTGTGTGTGTGTGTGTGTGTGTGTGTGTGTGTGTGTGTGTGTGTGTGTATAAATACGTGGGTTTTTTTTAACAAATCGGCACCACAAAAATAACATTTTAAATATCATCGATTCATTTTTTGGCTCTGTAACAACAGAACACACAGTATTATATAATTAATTAGATTTAAAAAACAACATTTGACCCAGAACCAACGAGCCTGGTGCAGATGCTAGCTTCTTATAAATTAAATGTCAAGGGGAACAGAGCGATAACTAGGACTTGTTTACACCCCCTTGACTCCCGGCAAGGCGCCGGGGTCCTTACTGTTTTATAAATAATGAATTATGTACATGTATTTATAATTAGATAATTCATTTTGATCTTTTTTCTTGAGGACGTGGGGTGTCCAACTGGACTTACGTAATTCATTTCGAAAGAGAAGAACTTGGTGCCCCCCCCCCCCCCCGGTCAGTACCCTAAGATTAGTACATTGTAGTTAGTAAGAGTAAGATTATTAAGGGTAAGAGTAAAATTCAGAGTAAGGATAAGAGTAAGGGTAAAAGAAAGGCTTAAGTAAGAGAAAGGGTAAGAGTAAAAGAGTTTAAATCAGAGAAAGGGTAAAAGTAAGAGTCAGGGCAAGGGTTAGAGTAAGAGAGAGTTGTAAGAGTAAGAGTAAGAGTAAAAGCAAACGCAAGAGCAAGAACAGGAGCAAGAGGCAGAGTGAGGGTGAGTGATTTTTTATAAAAGTGTTTTACGGCGCTCGCAACTGCATAAGGTCATATGAGCGTGCGGGACACAGCATAATAAGCATTTCCAGTTGTAAGGAAATTTAAAATTTTGCCCGGGTGGCAGCAGAAGCCAACGCTTATTATATTATCAATTTTGGACCACCAAAGGATCTTTACCGTGCGCAACTTGCAAACGGGACCTCCTAGATTTTTCGCCCTTGTCCGAGAAGGGTAGGTGTAGATCTTTCCTACCAGACGATCAGGGGTGTGGTTGAAAGACAGAAGACAGAAGAAGACAAGGAGTAGCAGTAGAAAGGCTGCAGAAAGAGTCAGGAGCCCAGAGGAATGGGCAAAGGAGGTGAGGGGGATAGGGGCAGAAAGTGGGGAAGACGACAGAACATTGCTAGAGAGCAGGAAAGGAGGTTAAAGGAGGCAATTTTAGAGAAGAAAAATTCCCGTCACTATCCGGCTTCGAACCCGGGACCTATAGAATGAGAGGCAAACACCATAACCTCTAGGCCACGAGAGCCCTCGGTAAGAGTGAGAGTGAGTTAGGGTAAGAATGAGAGTAAGAATAAGAATAAAAGTAATACAAGTACTGAGAGTAAGAGTAAGAATATATAGGTGAGACTAAGAATATAAGTAACGGTAAGAATGAATAAGGGTAAGATTAAGAGAAATAATAAGAGTAAGAGTAAGAGTAAGAATAAGGGTAAGATTAAGTGAAAAAATAAGATAAGAATAAGAGAAAGAGTAAGAGTAAGAATGGGAGTAAGAGTAAGAACAAGAGGGTGAGTTAGAGTAAGAGAAAGAGTAATAATGAGAGTAAGAGTAAGAGTAAGAATATAACTTATAAGTAAGAGTAAGAGTAAGAATAAGAGAAAGAGTAAGAATAAGGGTAATAATAAGCGTAAGAGTATGAGTAAGGATATGAGTAAGAGTTAGAGTAAGAATAAAAGTAAGAGTAAAAACAAGAGCAAGAGTAAGAGTAAGAGTAAGTGTAAGAGTAAGAGAAAGAATAAGAGTAAAAGTAAGAGTAATTATAAGTATAGTCGTGGGGGGGGGGGGGCAGCTAGAATAGGTGACAAAAGCTAGGGAGGAATAAAAAAGCAACAACAAATGAATTAAATTATAATTAAACATGAACAAATATACAGTAGCAAGCCGACAAAACGGCTTTTTTCATTTTAGTGCCAAAATGTTTTATTTGCTAAATCGAAAGTCTGATTGTGTGGTAAAAAATAAAAGTGAAACCGACTAGTTTTTGAATAAATTAGAATTCAGTATTCGGAATGACTCTACATTTTAATGATTACGCTGACAAACAAGACCCCTCTTTTTCTCGAAACTGCTAGCATGCTGTTAAGGAAAAAAGGCGTTTTGTCAGCTTCCTGCAATATAGTCCCTGTTAGTCATAATCTCTTATTGTTCCATTGAAATGTTAGAATATATCATTGTACCAATTCATTCGCATTCTCTGCCGTCGTCAATGATGGTTTGGTACGAGGAAGATCACTCGAATAAAAAGGACACAGAATAACCGCCCCCCCCCCCCCCCAGCCCAGAAAAAAAGAGAGAAAGAAAAAAGAGCAATAGTGAGAGTATGGGCTCAACACTACTTTGAGCACTGTTAGATTTTTCAAGAGGCGGGACCTCCCAATTTATTAACCATTTCCGATAGAACCCAGTTAAATGGATTGAGACCTTTGTACACTCCACATGAAGAGTTCAAGAACGATCAGTCGGGGGTTCATGTTCTGCAGTTCAGTATGATACCAATTGAGGTAATACAGTAACCAAGGATTAGAGGGAAACTATTCCAAGTCCAAGAAGTAGAGTTTTAATTAACTTCAGTCCTCCCCAGGACTCGGAACTTTGAGATATATAAGCCTAACTGAAACTCTCTCTCTCTCCCTCTCTCTCTCTCTCTCTTCCCCCACCCCCTTCTCTTTATTTCTCCCTCTCTTTCTCTGTCGGTCTGTCTGTCATGGCCTCTCACTCACTCTCTCTCTCTCTCTCCCGCGCTCTCTCTCTCTCTCTCTCTCCCCCTCTCTCTCTCTCTCCCTCTCTCCCTCTCTCTCGTTTGCCTATAGCTCTTTCTCCGAAAAAAGTCCCTAAAACTCTCCACACAATCCATTTCCATGAACACCCTGTTGAGGAAATGAACCGGGGTTTTCCGTACGGCAGTTGAGCACCATACATACACACACACACACACACACACACACACACACACACACACACACACACACACACACACACACACACGCATATATATATATATATATATATATATATTGAACCACAGGCATATCTTAGGTGCTATATAATAATAAAATAAGGCCAACAAGGATCCAGGCCCCCCACACTCCACCCATAAAACAGTTTTTTTTAAATGCAACATCTGGAATTCATTTTGCGTTAACACCATATTTATATATTCTGACCTATTTCCGTTATTTGTTTTATTTTGTTTTTTGTTTTCAATCGGATGTCATATTAAACCCGCGGGCACATTGACGGAATTCTACAACGAAAGTCCTCTTTTAGTTTTAGTTTTAGTAAGAGTTTTACGGCACTTGCAACACAATAAGGTCATATAAGTGCCGAAGATTTGAAGTGTTACAACAAGAGAGTAACAAACGTAAAAAAAAGAAGGAGGAGAGATCAGGACGATAGATGTTCGATAGGAAAGAAGAAGCAAACCACACCAGAGCACCCGCCAACGTCCCACAGTCTTTGTGTGTGTGTGTGTGTGTGTGTGTGTGTGTGTGTGTGTGTGTGTGTGTGTTTGTGTGTGTGTGTGTGTGTGTGTGCTGACGATCGAACATAGAGACAGAAACAACTGTTCTATCCATAAATGTAAATAAGAATGTTTTCGCATTTTGTTGTTGTCGTATTTCGTTGTTATTGTTATTATTGTTTTGTTTTTGTTCTTGAAAGTGGATGCTGATTGTGGTAAAAGTCCTCACGACAAAAAATTCATAAGAAAGAAAAAGACTGCAAGTGTGTTTGTTTTATGTTTTTGCCACACCATACTCGTGCTGTTTATCATTTATGTTTTAGAACTCTGAAAGCGAAACTGAATCATCCAAAATATTGCCCTACCTTTAGCTATGGACATGAGTACCTCTTCTAGCTCTTTCAAAGTAAAGAAGAAAAATGCATTCATTATTTTTTTAAGAAAGAAAAGAAGAAAGACAACAGTAGAGTAGATCAACACTTGAAAGCAAATATATTTTTTCTATGTCCCCAAATGAGTGGCAAATGGTTCAAATGACAATAAGTAAGGCTAGTTCAGCTTTTAAATACGAACTCATGATATTATTTACAGGATGGATGTTTAATTTTTTTTTTTGTGTACAGCCGTGAAAGAGATCGGGGGAAAATTGCTGATTGAGCAATTTGGTCGCGGGATTAATCTTGCTATTATTCATAAAATTGCGGACCTAATTTAGTTTTGTTAAATGTTGTAAACATTATACATGCACGCACGCACGCGCGCGCGCACACACACACACACACACACAAACACACACATGCTCGAGCGCTTACACACGTAGACAAACGCACGCACACATTCACTCTCACACACACATATACACACAACTACACACACATACACACAACCACATACACACAACCACACACCCATACACACACACACACACACACACACACACACACACAT